CTGTATATTAACTGCTTACGTAATGACAAGTATCTATACTGATGAAAAACGGAAACCTTTTATTTCGACTTTTTTAATGTTATCGATTCATAGGCAAAAAATGTCGTTTTGTAAAATTCCTTTACAATACAGTATCTCCCTTTTGATACAGTGAATCAGACAATCGGTCAAACAGAATTGAAATTTATAGCCATGAAATCGAAAGAGGTGATATCTCAGTTTCACAGGTTCAATACTGTGTTTTTCAGCAGTCAGTTCGCATTTAAGCCCTTAGTAGCATCACTGGCGAGTCCCAAAAGAACGAAACAGTTGTATGATGCAGTTCAGTTTATTATTTGGCTCTATTCTATCTTATTCAAACTTTGAAATAAAAAGTGCCATTCACTAGCACAACACACATGCCACAAGACGCAAGGAACTGATCAAAATACACGGAGAATGTTGCCATATGAATGTCATATGCAGGAGGATTGTTGTTCCTAATATATACGTCGCTCTATTTCATCAAAAACATACCTGATTGGAAATACATTTCATGCCACTTTAGAACAAAGTAGCACGATGTACCCTCAATGTGCAGTATGGGATCGTGTGTTCTCTTGCTGCAAAACAACATCACGCGATAAGTGAAGCAATATGAAACTATACGTGTTTGATGTTCATTAGCTTGCCTGTTGGTTCCGTTGCTGTATACATTGTAAATCTTTATTTTTGTTCAAATTTTGCCCTGGTGTTATTAAATTTGAATTTGGCTAATGATTATGTTGACATGTTGGTATGTTCCTCATTGCGGTTGTAATGCCACCTCAGATCGAACATAATGTTTCTGCTGAATTGATGACGCTGAATTACACTAATGTTTTTCCAATTCGACAGGACACCCATACACGACCGTTACTGTTAGCAAGATGAAATTGACTTATATGTGAACAGCAGCCCCAACTAGTTTGTGAATCGCATCGTGCTATGGCAGTCACTCTAAGACATTGAAGCAAATCTGTGTGGATGGAGGGAAGTCGCGGACTGCAATGCTTCTAGAACTGATTCGTCTAAGTCTTGGAATGCTTTAGCGGTCAATGAAGTGGACTGGAAGCGATTACGCAAATGCGACACGACTTGAGATGTGCATCAACGATTCATTCCTTATGAAAAAGAACTTGTTAGATGCAGTTATTTTTCATCAAACTATGTTGCATATAGGGAACAATATTTTTACTTAGAATGCAATATTTGCAAAGTGCGCTTTTTCAGCGACGGAATGAACCGGAATTTGATGATATTTCTTAAGTTTCTAAATAATGATTTGGTGCATTTCGCAAGTCTAGACAATAATGTTGTGGTCTTGCCAATGTGGCGTCACACGCGAACGTCCTGTTTATCCCTTACCCAGTTGTGTACATGTGTTGAAAACACCTCAACAAATTATCAATCGTTTTAAAGTGCATTTCAAACTGTCTTGAAACATTATTTTAAGTTATACCGACCTCTTGTATGCCAATAGCACCCAAACGTTCATTTTCGCCCACACATGTTATATTCCTGAAACGATGAGAAACACTGATACAGTGCGTAGAATACTACCCATTAAACGCTATAACTTTTGACTACCCGCATGATATGCGTTGTAGATTCGAAACTCGAAGAAAAATGCGAAACGAAAACAAAGGTTTTTTTTACAAATCAAACAAGCTTTTAATGTTTCAAACTGTATTTTTTTTAAATAATCGACGAGAAAAATGTAATTAGGCAACAACACATTTAAGTTTGATATTCAGCGTTAATACATAATCCCTATTTATTTTTGTTCTTCAATCATGCTTCAATAATGTTGCAGACGCTTTATTGCGGTATTACGTCCTCGTAACGGTCAGGGTTATACAAGAAGCATCCATTCGTGATGAGCACACTTACATTTATGTTTTAGTGTCATCACACTTAAATATCACTCGCTCGACATGTTTCTAGCAAAGAAGTTGAACTATGGCATTCTAACAATCTGATTTCATTTTTATTGGAATGATTCGTTTCAACAAAGACATGATCATTATCGTATGTACAAAAGATTTTTGTGGTAATCAATTCAAGTTGACAACTTAGTACTTTCCTTAAGGATGTGTTCCTTTGTAAAGTTAAAAAAATAACCAGTTTTTTCCTGTTTTTGTTAAACACGGTTTGATTTAATAGAGCAGTTTAAAAGCAAACGATCAATATGTTTCATCACTACTTTTTCTGATACAGGCGTCAAAATACGTGTTTCAGACAAAAATTCATTTTCATATATCATTCGTTTTCTTCCTAAATAAGGGGCAGTCTCTGTTATGTGCATTTTCAATTAAACATTTCCGTCTTTCACAACAAGGTAAGGGTATGATACTTGAATATTGATAAACAAATCTGTAAATGCTATCTGTTCATTTGCTTTAAGGAGCTTTAATCTGCATAAAAAACAAAAAATGAAAACAATTTTTGGTTTGGATAGAGAAATCTTCATGAATAAAAAGAGGGCATCTCTGTGCTTTTATTTTTGCAATTTTACACAGACAGTTGTTCGAATATCAAGAGACAGGCTGAAATATTCGTTTTCGAGTCCTAAATGTCCGGAAAAGTGGTTCACTGAGTCGGAATTGGCGAATTTCAAATCAGTGATTTATAGTAATGATTAATACAAAATTTAGTTGACAATTTCCCAAGACTTGCAGAATTATGCCTTAAAAACCACGAAACCTTGAAAGTGTTAACACTATTAACCGAATCATGCCATCAACTAGGCCGTCAAAAAAGAAGTCCACGTGAGATAATTAGTACAACTATTGATTAGAAAGTGTATAAGAACATTATTCCGCACTTCCGGTCAAACGTCAAAAGAATACATCCTTAAGTATATTTATCATCAGCAGCAAAATTTACAATGATACTTCTAGTATGGCCGAACACATGGCACAGAATATAGTAAAACATGATTAACATATCTAAAATTTATAGAGTTATATATATGTTTATGTAATACTTGACACTCTCCATTCAGAAAAGGCACAGTCATTGTACATTACCAATCAGTTTGATAGAATATAAGTTTAACGACATTAAAATAACGTAAGGAGACAATTAAATACTGATCACTATGTGTATTTCTCTTCTCCTAAATAAATGTCGTTTGCTGTAAACTCGCACCCATCAAACTTGTTAATCTTATTTCGAATTTTTGATGATTGGTACCAGCATACACGTTTTCATAACATATTTGACCTTTTCTTAGAATATCTAAGCTACTTATATGTAAATACATGAAAAACAAACATTTGAAAAAATGAGCCAATATTATGTTTAATACATCAGTCACCAAACCATTTCGTTTTCTGTTGACATCTATTAATCTGGTAAAATATCTAAAACATCTCTAGATGTAAGCAACTTAACACTGATGTGCTGTTGTGTAGTGATTGTTTGATGGATGGATGGTCATATCATTACTTGAGACTTCAATGTGTTTTGCTTGGAGCTGTCAGCAGCAAAGACCACATCAACATGGTAAAAATGATGACTTTTTAAAATCACCATGGCTTCAATTAAATCTGATATATTTGAATCTACAGCATAATCACCTTTCCTGAATTTATAATAATATTCAAATCCAATGCCTAGGCACCCGATATGTAATATCGTGATGTTTAAAAGAGACATGTGATTGTTTTAAATGCATTCTCTGGATAATGCATTACAATATACGACAATCTGATATGATTGCGTTATGGTACCAATACTGCAACACATCCAGGATTTGAATGTAATATTAGATATCATATCCATTATGAAATTATTTACAGGTTTTTGGTTTCTTCTTCAACTTAGCTGTAATACGAATATTGCATTTCAAACCCAAGCGGACTATTACGAACATATTGCAGCCTTTCATAGACACGCGCAATCACCATGAAAGGCTGCAGTATGTAACAATCCGCTTGAGTTTGAAATGCAATATTTGTATAACACTGAAGAATACTACGGAAAGCTCCTAGCAGGACATCCCACACGGTCACATTATAATCACACTGGGAAAACCAGTCATTACACTACCGTTTACTGAATATTAAACTGAGAATAGTATTTTTCTCAATGTGAATGGTCTTTTGTACTGAACATTTTCATTTTTTAATAGTTTATGTGAAAGTGTTTATCATCAAATTTCAGTCAATTCAACATATAACCATGGCAATCTCCGTATATGTAATATCGGTGCCTGGTAACTCTATTATTTCTATCGATTACTCTTATGTATATATATATGGTTATATTGGTATCCTCTTATCGTTGAAAATGACATAACATGAATTATTTCATCAACTAAAACAGTATGAATTGCACAATGGTGTGCTAGCTAGATATGTACCATGTAGCCTTAAATTTAAGTATTTGTATTTTCAAACAACACATGGAAGTATTGTGTTTTATTATCGCAGATCCCAAAATTTCAATAGTCGACGATATCAATGGGGATTTGACAATATCTTGTATATTTACCAAATAAAGAAGAATAGTTCATTCCTACCAAGCTTTCATAACTGACTTTCTTAGTGGGATGATATCAATAGATAGGAAAGATTTATCTTGTAAGAAAAAAACACCATTCACAATGTGTCATATGTTTGTGTTTCTCATTTGCTATGTTTTCTATCCAAGGCATAAGTTTACGTTTACAATCACATTTTTAGTCTGTTAATACCATCTAGAAAAAAATACCATCTAGAATATCTTCGAATTAAATAGGAATCGAGAGTAATATCTCATAAATACAAAAATATCTAAATAAGTATAATTTTTGAATTGTTAAAGATTAATTATTTCTGTGATTAAGCATCCGCTTACAGTATTGCTTTCTATCACAGATTGATTTTAATTGATACCCATAATTGCCAACGAATATATAACATTTTACCCAACAACAATGTTGTATATACATGTAAATAGGATAATGATATTCCACCTACAACACTTTCCAAGCGTCAACTTTATGGTTACTTTCTTCCAGCATGAACGTAAGCTGAATAGATCGTTAATCATTTAGCTGTATTCCGGCAACCGCTTCTATGTAAGAAATTTTCCATGACACACACGTACATTAATGCAACCGAAAAATCAAATTTGGAGAAATGGATGAGCTTATACAAAGTTGCCAAGTCAAGTGTTTTGTTCGGTGTCGATTGGTAGCTTAAGAGTCATGAAATTGTTTATATTTGCTCTGGACTCATTGTTACATTTTGATGACATCGAAGCAGTGCCTGGTGTCACTTGTGTATGATTTGCCCCGGTTCTTGGAGAATCAACAGTGCCAGAGAATCTGCTGAGACCTGTGCTTGTGTCAACGTCACTATCTTCATAAAACTGATTTGATTGAAATTTTCCCTTGAAGTAGGAACCATTCTTAAAGTTGGCTGGCGTTCTTCTGGTGGAAGACTGGTAGCGTACAATTTCACCCCGAAGCTTCTGTCGTTGCATGGCCGTTTTCAAACAACAGCAGCAGCGAACTAACTCCCTCTTGAAATTGATGGTGAACATTCCTGGAACAGAGTAAACTTTGTGTAAGTGTTTTTTGTTGCCCGATGTCACAAAGGCAATGTTAGGTTGACTACACTGAGTTAGACCATCTCTGATTGGCCTTCAGCCCTATTTGAACTTTTATCCAACGACCCCATTTCCTTGCTTCTCGACGGAAGGCTGTGGTAAACATCCCTGTAACAGAAACGTTCGGGCTGTAAAGAATCTTCAGTTACCTTTGCTTAAAGTAGCGCGCAACTCGTATATTAAAGGTGATTTTGGTAACCTTGCGAAGGTAATCATATACCTATAACTGGGATGTAAATCCTTTTAGGTCAGTATTGATTTAAGTCATTTCAAGAAATGAATAAAAACTTTTCGCTCGATTCAGCGTGTAGATTCCATCCGAAGCAAAGTCGAACAGGAAACCAAAATAGATCATTTAACTTTTATCTCCACCTAGACATCTAGGATTGTGCAACATTGCAGTCAGCCCATAAAGCAGCATGTATGCAACCACTCTTTTTCCGTGATTTAAAGTACTTCAGCATTGTTTGGCACCTAGTGTGTTCGCGAGAGGTATAACTCATCATTTCAATCCTAACCGTTTTATTATCTCGATGGTCGGATATAGTGATCCTTGTAATTTATATATATCGTGAACATCGGGAATGCATGCAATTATGCTAAACTTCAGAATGTTTCGTTTTTCTTTAACATAATAAAGCTTCCAAAATACACATAAAACATTATTTAATATCAAGAATGTCGCATATAGCATCAAAACATGCAACAAGGTATCTACATATGCGAACCAACAATATAGCTCAAAGGTTAGAAGGTATCATCTGTAAGAGTTGCTAAGAGCATCACGTCGACTTATGAGATGAAGGATTAGATCAAATGTCAAGCTAATTATGTTCCGTTTGTTTTATGTGCTTTTCACATGTTTCTGAATACATAATAGATGAAATAGACCCACTGGCACATACAGTATTCCTCCCTGTGAAGCCATACAAATGATAAGCTATAGAACACCCCCATTAACACGTCTACGTTTAAGACTGTATGTACTTTTACCTCACGGAGTTAATGCAGAAACAGGAAACGTTTTTAAACCTAACAGCAATGCTTGACTAGTATTGTGTTCAAAAAAAGAATCATGTTTGCATGGACACCAAGTCCATTTGTTCTTTAATATTTGAATAGAAGTAATATTTTTTCCAACAAAATATAATTTACTATCTACTGGATGTGACTAATGTAGCTCAAATAGGTACATCGCATATATTCCAAAATTCTATGTTTAGTATTATATATTTCACGCAGCCTGTGAAGGTTGGGTCTGTAAACATGGACACAAATTATCAATGTTATGTATGCTAACCAACGGAAAACACAAAAACACTTAAAAGTATCAGCTTTATCTGATTAGCAGCAAGGTTAAAGTAGTCCGTCATAATCACAATTCGGCATTTGGTCTTTGTCAATGTATGTTGTTTTCCCTTAAAACAGCACCAGGAGTGCCATGAGAATGAGTGGCAAAATATCGTTCATTTTTCAGTTAAATCATATTCTGGAAGCAATAACAGAATATTCAGCATATATATGTAACACAAGTCTATCCAGTAACAGCAAAATACCACAGGAGAAAAAACGACATTCCATAATTTTGTTCTGTTAAAAGTTATATCTTCTATGTATTAGATACAAATTCTGTATAAAATTATGTCCTTTATTTCTCTTAACTTCATGTATTTTTTTAAAAATAGATAACATGTACAGTAAAGCACAGGATAACACCATATTGGTTCTATATAATCAGGCGACATGTTTTATTTATGAATTAAGATACACACTTTTCCTGAGATCTACTGACCGTACAATAACCATTTAGCTCTCAGATTAGGATACTTACCATAAACTATTGGATCCATGCAGGAGTTAGAGACAGCGAACAAAAATAATCCTTTCTGTATCTTTGGGTCTAACTTCTTAGCGGAATCTCTGAAATAAAACGAAAAAAATGAGACTTGACTATGAGTAAAACTGTTTGATTGTCAAAAGATTCCTTTTATTTTTCCTGCTAATTACAGAGTAAATGTGTTGAATGGTTACGAGGGAAAAAGTACTTGACACAATGATTACATATGAACCGAAAAATGTTGATGGTTTTCGATCATCCATCATCATTTAAGAAAACGGATCGAAATGGGTGTTCTAGTTGAAAGGAAGAAAATACCATATTATCGGGAATGGCGAGCATCCCCTCAAGCATTATAGGAGTGTTTAAGTGTGTTATTTACAACCGAATGCGATTTTGTGTATATTCTGAGAGAAAAAATCCATTTCTTTTCACAAGACATGTTAAAGTAACACAATAAATATGACTGATATCTCAATAACGGGTCGAAAGATAAAGGGTTTGATGTTTACGTTGGATATTAGCTGTGACATATAACAACATCAGCAGACTTTGATCATGTACATAATATACACATTTAGATCAGCTGAATGAAGATAAAACACCGAATGAATTGAAAACACAGATAAGACGCCGAATGTTTTCAATCGTCTTTACTTTATATTATTGAGCAGGATATGGTAACATATAATAACATTAAGTTTCTTGAGTAGCATATGTTTGTTCGAAATGAAAACAACGAACTTTCACATTTGTTTGGTATCATTACATTTGATATAATGTTAGTTATATTTGTGGTATTGGTAAGGACTTGCTGTCCTCGCAATAGTTTGGTGTAACAAACTGATGACCTTTGATAATTGAACAGCGCTATAGCTATTTCAAGAGCTATCGGCAGGAGATTCTATAACTTCTTCCGGGATAATATTAAGGTTTATCTTAAATAGATAACTGACAGATTTAGGGATTTTGATTTTCTCGGTAAGGGTAAAACTTTAAACAAAAATGGTTCAGATGAGTGTTTAGCCTAAGGTAAATAAGGTAAGCATTTGGCAACGTTAACAAATCTTTATGAATATAGTGGGAAAAAATGTTAATTGTGTTTATTTTACTAGGTAAGAAAAGCAAACCCATTTGTATATTATATTATGCGAATAGTTTGATCGATTGTGCATCTGCAGGGTAAATCTATACAGGCAGATTCATCGTATAATCACCCCGATTGATAGTTGATGATATTGAAGAAGGAAAGTCATCCTTTAAACACCAATTTGACGTAACTCATCCATTGATGCAAATTTTTGCTTCTGCTCTTCACCAGTTCGTTTGTCATTTTTGTCCTGTCTGTTGCTTTTGAGATATATAAAGTTGATAATAGGAATTAAAATAATGTATTTAACATAATAAGAACGCACGCGTTTTTATTTCTACGAAATCATGTACATAGACCGAGTGCTTCCACTTACTTGTCAAACCACCACCAGGCAGATATTACGAAATAAGGCGTCCAACAAAGCACAAACACGCTGACTGAAACACAGATGGAAAGTGTATGTAACTTCTTGATAAATATGTTCATGATCATTGAAAGTTAGCAAACGAACAACCTGATATGCATTTTGAAAAGCAAAAAATGGGAAGGTCAAATACTTATCAATTTACTATCATAAAGCTTACTCGATATCGTCTGAAGAAATCAATTCCGGCATAGATTCATCGTCGTGAAATTACAATCTACTTTGATGTGTAAGAAAGTTATGTAGTGTATCAGTTCTATCTTTCTGTTACCATTTAATGTTTAATTTAGAATAAATCCATCAAAATATGAAAGTGATTTATTCTGTTTTCTGTCTGTATAGCTGTAATACATATTCGCTTTTAGAAATTAAAAACAGACGAGAACATTAAAATCTGGATGCGATTAGGAGGTAAATAATTTTATATCGAAAATATCTTAATGATTACAAAAAAAGTTTTGCCCATTTCCTGTTCATGATTTAATCAAACATGTTCAAAATGAAAAGGGATGTAAAACTCTTTACAAAAAAGAAAGAAAAAATAAGAAACTAAAAATCAATCAGCAACGTACATTTTCAGTTGTACTTATAATAATTATAAATAATTGACTGGTATAAATAACTCATAATCACATCATGCACTAACTCATTGTTCTTGTGATAACAAAGACATTGTGTTTGTTATTGTTTTATGTTTCAAGTGTAAATTTTGTTTGCATAAAGCTTAGATGGTAATGTCCAAAATGAAATCAAACATTGTTTATTATAAGATACTATCCTTCAAATTTTTATGTGAAGATTATTCACAAACACTTGCGAGTCTTAATTCAGATTCAAATATCATATTTGAGGGTTCGCGTATTGAATGATCAAATAGATTCTGACTTCTCTCAGTGTGGAAATTAATCTGATTATTGACGCCTACAGAATGATAAAGAATCCTAGCAAACCATCAATTCTGTTTACATAACTGACATTTTTACATCATAATCAATTTCTGCTCTCCAAAAACTATTATAACCAGATTTATTTTCAACATTGCTTTAATAAGTAATCATTTTCAATTTGTTTTTGAAAAAGGCAAAAATAATCCGATCGTGTCGAAAAATATCGCTGTAAATTGAAGAATTGATAGCTTTTTGGCAAAGGGACGATTTTCAAATTATTTTTGGAAACGGCTTATACAATCATGATGTTGTAAATTGTAATATTAAGTTATGTTATATCAAGTGAATTGGCTGGAATGACGTTGTTCAACGGAAAACGATCACAGTAACAAGAGGCCTAAAGGGTCGATATCGCCGCATTATTTATGAATTGTGATTGTCAGAATGAATTTTGTGGATATATAGGATGTTACACAGATTTCCATTCATATGAGATTTATAAAACAAGTACCGTTTCTCATTTCATCGATCCTCTGGAGAGGTATTATTCGTGACGATTTTCCTTAGTTTCTGATGAACTTGGAGATTTTGTAAACATTCGTGTAAACAGTACTTTATTAGCATAAGATTATAATAATCAATTTTCTCATTCTACATATCTCTTTCTTTGACGATCTCATAATGCGTATAACGCCATAAGATTATGACGTCACAATTTTAACATTTGGCCCTGTTATACCATATTAAGTATGAGTGATTACAATAATGTATGTAATGTACATTGGTCTGTTATATGCCAACATCTTGCACGACAATCCTCGTACTGAGAACAAATCAATAGCGACATGAAACAGAGGTGCAGGAGAGCTGCAATTCAAATATAAAAATTCGCAATAGGGTAGTCGAAATTAGCACGTTTATACAGCTCGGTGGAAAACTGTCTTCATTTCCAATTCTGGAGGTTGTAAGTGCACGATGGACGTAGTCAATAGCTTTCTTGTTATTTTAAGCTCAAAACATCATCACTTTATCTGCGAGTGAAATTGAATGACTTCACGAGACCTTTATGACGTGTTTTTATAAGATCTTCGATAAATTCAGCCTGGTATTTCAACATAAACAAGTCAGCCCAAAACATGGGCACAAATGCTCACATATGTATTCCGATAGCCTGTTGGAAGATCTTACTCGACGAAAATGCTGTCAACCAGAAATTCGAAAATATTTATGATTTCGTCTAATGTATATTTATTTGTTTGATTTGGAACTTTTCTCACGTAATCTTATCTCTTTGAAATGCGCAGATATGAAGACACTATCGACTCTTAACTCAGCGGTTACTTTTTAATGAATTCATGTTCCCAAAACTTTTTTATATTAAATAACTGATGATGGATGGTGAAATCTATCCTGACAACACGTTTTTAAACAACTTTGATTTAAATGGATACGACAGTACGACATCTAATCAAATCATATCTGTTTGTTGACATCTCATCCATTCAACTGGCCAAAAAACAAATCAAGAAGATACGTCAATATAATCATAATTCAAATTCCATAAAACCAGGCCAAAATATGAACAAATCTAAGATTAACACGGAGACTTCTGAAAAAGCTTCATCGACGACATCCGCCATGTACACTTTAGTCAATCCAAGTAAGATGTCTCGCGTTCTCTAACGAAAACAAGGTAAATAGCGGAACCGATGAGCGTCAAACACGTCAACTTCATATCGAACAACGAAATAGAATATTTAGAGTATAGGTTAACTAAGCTGATTGTAAAACATCCCCACAATATCCAACAACCTGCATCTATTGAAACCCTGTGTTACCACCGAGTTTGTCCATCAGTTGACAACTTCTTTCACGAAAATCTTGATAATGGAAGCAGGCCATTGAATTTCTAATCAACTTTGACATGTGAACACCATACGCCGAGAATGCAGGGCTATTGCTATCCAGAAATGGAAAGTTGAGAATAGGGAAATGTAGATCTAAACTATATTTAACTGTTTATGAGGGTTTGACTTCTATTTTCCCTATGGTACTATCAGTTCGATTAATATAATCATTACCATTTGATATAGATTAAATGAATTGCGGTTTTCATTATGAAGAATTATCTTTTACATATGCCTAGGAAGAAGATAGTGGTCATTTAAGCGTAATTATTACCAGAATTAACAGTATCTTAGCCTTATACGCGCGCCTTAAATCAATATGAGAAGCACATTTTCAACCGATATTGGCGCTAGACGCTGAAAGCAAATATGTTAAAGCATTTGATATCATAACTAAATATAAGTAACAAGTATCTAGTTTCCGAAACTCAATTATCCCCAATGTCGTTATAATTCGATCACATATAACTAATAGTCATATTAAACGTTAACACAGTGGTTTGATGGCAACAGGCTCACGAAGTCGGTTTACATGTTTTAAGATGAAGACAATACAGTCTAACCAGTGCCAATACAATGTTTACACAATGTGATAACACAATATACTGTACCTTGTTTTGAAATTAGACCTAACATAACATATTAATTCACACATCGACTCTTTCTGTATTTAAAACTTAAGACATCACTTATCATGATTTTCAGTTTGGTAATTAGTGGTTTCGTGTCATTATCTTATTGGACTTCTTTCATACACGTTTGATGACGAAAAATTAAAATTGCATTTTTTTTCTATATCAATACACCTCAGTTTGTTTTATAGCTGTGGACTGAATTATACGCTTAACTTTACAAAACACTAAATCAGATTTTATATGGTAGCCGTTAGTTCTAATAGTGAAAACCCTCTTACCTATTACTAAAGTCATTTTTAATGTCCGTGTACGTGCTCGACGTATGTTTCCCATAGATGAGCGACGTAATCGACTTCGAGCCTTCGCTGATAAACCGGTTTCTTCTGAAAAACACAATAATAGTTTTCATTACCATATACATTATTTTATCATAGTTCAGTTGATTAAACGTCCCTAAAAGAACTTTTTACAATAAAGCTGAAAACTCTTCCAAAATGTACTTCTTTTTCTTCATTCACTACCACTTAAAAACATTGTATATATATGCCTGATACAAATAAACAATTATTACCCCAAATTTATAAAACAATTCAATCAAAATAGAAATGTGTTTTTATCAATTAGGTACTGTACAAACCGGATGATGAATGATAAATGTTATGTTATGATGTTACTAGGCTTCATAAAGACAATTAAACCCATATGATGAAGAGCTGCCATCCCTGATAAGACTTCATAGAGCATGACAAGTGGTGTGAGTGTTAAATCCGGTTCTTAATTTGACATACTTTACCCATTAGGAAAGGTATCGATAACTTAAATGGATGTGATAAGACCAGGGGCGGATGACCACAAAATTGTGATGTGTGTTAATTCACAGTTGCACTTTTATGATGTTTAACCCTGCCACGCATGGTTACGTATAGCCGTGATCTTCGTACGATGTCTTCTCTCTAATCCCAACCTACTCAGAGGCTATTGACTAAAAAAATAACATCATATCGCCACATATATATATATATTATAGCAAGGGCGTTGAGATTGCTGCAGGTAGATTTTGCTTGTAAACTCCGCTATCTTCCATAACCTCCAGTTACGTTTTAAATCACATGTACAGTGGCACGGTACATAATATGTCTTCATGGACATGGCGATTAAAATGATCAGATGCGATTTTTTTCTCGATACTATTCATTTTTTGTTTGTTTTTGTCTTTTTTTTATTTAGCATTCGACCAGTTTTTTTGTTTTGTTTTTTTACATTCCTGAGTCCCCTTCTAGACCTCAACAATTCCAGCTTTCAGCATCACTGTCGAGACCTAGAAACAGCTTTATAATGCGTTTTAATGAATTCAATACTACGTTCTGCTTCAATTCTATATTTGTGTTGAAAGATGCTATTCGCTAATAAGTTCGTCATTTCTTCTGATGATTTGGATTGGTGTACCTAGCGGGTGATATCGGAGACTGTCATCGATCGGGTCACATGTTTATTCTATAGTTAACTCCTCATATTCCTTTAACCACTAATTGCCAATTATCTTTCACGTGAGAATAACTTTATCATTATTTAGTGTAATACTGATACAAATCAACTTTCCTGAGGCAAACGTTTGCTAATGATCAAATAAAATAGTTATGCCTTAAATCAACGTCAAGCAAGTTAATGTCTAAAAACAGCAATGACTACACACAAGATTTACTATCATGATAAATTTGCAACGACTGAAAGTAAAATGTGATGATTTTGATACGTCCGTCACGTTTGGAACACTAAAGGCGGAGACTGCAATGAATATAGTGATGGAACAAACATTACCACACCTAGTTCTTTTTATGTTTAAATTTACGATTGAAACGTTGAAACAAACATATAGAAAGTACAAACGGTTGCGATTTTGTGTCCAAAGTAATAATTCTTTATCCGATGCAGCAAGTCATTGGCAACAATATGATTGAGAGTATATCACTAACGTTTCGTAGACGGTGTTAAATCCTATCATCAAAGGTATAATATAAATGTACTTTTAACGTGCCGAACTTTTAACATTTCTTTGATCAATTCTGGTTTCTCTCAGTCGTCTCACAGGTTTCACAAGCTAGGTTCTTAGCATCCCTGGTGGGTCCTAAATGGACGAAATAGTTGTATGATAAAGTTTAATTCATTATTTGGCTTTACTGAATGTAGCTCTACATTTGTATAGTAGAAACAATATACATGTAAACGTGCCGAAACGTATCGATAAATACATCATACGAAAAACATTCGGGACGAAACGTCGCGTTGACCAAAACACGTGCAAGCCACGTATAAGTTCTAAAGTATATGATTTGGGGGCGATGGTCATGACAGATGGGGGCACTGGCGGCCTCTTTTATAGTTTCGTAACACTGAAATGACATAAGAAATACATAGTACATGTATCATAACAATTACCCCTATTAAGGAATACTGATAGCAGACTTCCAATCCTTGTGAAACCCGTTCATGTCTAAGCGACGAACAACGAGTATGAAGCACATTTTAATCAGCTTTATATTTCACGGATTGGGAACAGACGACATAACCTCCCTCACTCAGGCAGTGATGCAGAGTAAAGGTATTACTGAAGGTTTCTAGAAGGAATATAATATTGTATATTTTATTTGTAATGGACTGTATGCACTATTTCTATGAAGTATTTACGTGTGGGCTTATATATATCTACATATATATATAAAGAACCTTTAACTCAATGTACAAAAACGCTATCGCAGACTGAAAATGCCAACTTACATTATTGGATGAATGCGAAGTGCTGTGTGATTGGTGTTTGATCTGATAACCAGGATTGGAAAGGCATGGTGTTAGTAATTAAATAAGCCATCAGGACTGAACAAAGCCACAGTGGGAATATCGCCTTTCAATAAACTATAGTTCAACAATGAATCAAACAGCATCATACAATTATTAGTGATATTAGGAGCGACCGAGGAAATCGAAACGATGGGGAGGTGCACTAACCAGATACTTAAAAAAAGGATATCACAATTTCCAATACATGTACGTGATGACCAATTTGTTGGGTTTATCACCCCATGAACTGTCAGGGTCAGTTTGAGGAGGTGTGATCATTAAGTAGCCGATAGCTACCTATATGAACAATATACGTGGAGTCCGTCGCTTCCTGAGAAACACAAACCGTTACGGCCGGAAGCATTGAACTATACACCCAAGACCCACTGATTAAGATTACAACGTAGACTAACGCCCTATCGACTGAGCTTGATTTCGAAATAGCGTAAATACGAATACCGTAACCGTGCCACTATACAAATGAACCAAGACCTGGCAAGCGGTGACGGAAAATACTAACTTACCTCTACTCTGTCGTGTTTTCTTGGATATTTCGAGTAATATTAGGGAGTATGAGGCGGATATGATGAGCAGAGGAAGGGCGTATAATGTGATGATGTTGAAGAGATTGTAAGCGAGTTCATGCTTGGCAGTCGGAAAGAAGTTGAAGGTGACGCACTGTGTATACCAGGGGTGTTGTGGGTGGTGCTCAACGTGAAATATAACACTCTGAAAGTATAAAAAAAGAAAGAAATAGAATTAATGCAAATTATACCTATTAGATATTAGTAAACTACAAACAAGCTCACTTATATACATGTAGGTAAAATCATTTGGTGGATTTTAAGAACAAGGATATTGGAGATAAACTGATGAAATATTTAATTCTGTCAGTACTAGTGAGTAGTAATACGTTTTAGCTATGTTCATCCGGACATTCTCATCTACGTGTTGTTTGTTCTAAGTGGGTATTAGCGTGAACAAAAAGAGTACACGAATTATTTATTCGTTCCGACGTGTTTACTAATCTATATAAAATAAGGCATTGTATCTTGTAATTTTGAAGTGTTCGCCAATAGGGAGTTTACTCATTCGTTAGACAGACTGTTTCATCTGCCAACAGCGCTATTGCTGAAGTAATTTGTGCAGGTCTACGACATCTTAATACGAAGAGTAATTATGTTTAATAAAACCATGCGTCTTGTCTAATGTTTAGCGCATATAGGTCGCTGACTGACATCTTAGTACGATGTGTCTACAAGAAATGTTTTACCATCTCGGCGTTCTTATCCCAGTCTCAACTACGAGGATTTGGTATGAATCTATGTGATTATCAAAGAAGCCTTCAAATTATAACATAATCTGATATTTTCGTCTACTCAATCCATTAACCCTAATCTCTGGGATACACACAAGTAGACACATCTATCATATGTTGATACATGGAAGAGATAGTGAGTAGCATGACGAGGTCGGTATAAACAAAAAACTTAACGAAAACACTTTGATAGACGTTCCGCTTAGTTGAAACAATCTGGCGCGCAATTAGACAGGTGTGGGATATAGTTTTCAACGACGTGGGTGAGATTAATTGAAAACAAAAATGAACAAGGCATGCCTGCTGCATTTGATATCAGATTATTGTTAACAAGGGATCAGCAGATTTTATCTATGAAACCTTTCTTCTAATACAAACCATACAAACCAAATACGTTTCTGGCATAAAATGCTAAACTTTCTAAATTTTGTTTTATTGTTTTGTAACATTCTTTGACAGGATAATGGAATGTGATATAGAGGAATAAAAATTTAACCACAAACGATTATTTTTTATGGCGGATATTAATAGATACGTGAAATAAAGACAAAAATAAGTCGTCTGACTAGGGGAATATAACGTTGTTTCCAGATTGTATCGCAGCGTGAAATGTTTGGGTTATTTTACGACGTGAGTTCCTTGTGGTACGGGAGTCCTGTCACATTTAATCATGAGTAATTAGAACAAAGTTGCTTGCCCAAGAACACATTCAAGACAACACAAACTGGTCTCAGTCTCCAGAGCAACACAAACAGCCTCAGATCTTTCCGATTAAAGAATGGAACAACAGGATCTGCTATTCTACCCCATCGGGCAGAAATATCCACACTACCGGTGAAGGTAAGTTATACTGCCCGCACAGGAAGTGTTATTTCGTGTTCGTGTAATTGTTAATGACGTCATTTTTTATGACGTGTCGTGGTCAGTTTGGGGTCATTGACGTCATTAAAAAGTGTCATCCGGGCCTCAAATGCAAATGACTATACCGCTGGTGATGTCACATGTATTAATTTGCTTTTTTATTTCTTAAGAGGGAAAATGGTATAAAATGGATCATTCCCTACTTTGAGGGTAAGACTAATAGAATCTTCCCCTACCCTGAAGGTGTGACAGAAAAATCTCCAACCCGAAGGGTGATTTTTTTGTTGTTGTCTAATCCGAGGTTCCGAGGGTTGGATATTTCTCTGTCACACCCTCTGAGGTTAGCGGATGATTTTTTTCTCCCACCCCATTATTTCCGCCACGACGTCAAAAGAAAAAAATCCCGCGGTACAATTGTCTGAATGGCGCATGAATATCGCCATTCACGTTTCATGACTTCACCGTTTCCATGTAAATCATTACGCAAATAAATATAGATCTAAAAAATCAATCATATTTATTAATTAATAATTTACAATATAGTATATCATTTATTATATATCAATGAAATGGATCAACATATGCAATATATACCACCTTCATATATAAACAGTTGTTTTTCTCGCTGTCACTTCAAAGTGTACCCTTGCCGACATAACATGAAATATGTTCCTATGGGGCGAAAAGTGTCAAATATTTTCCACATCCTACCAGTTGCACCTACTTTCACCACACTTCCTACTTTGAAGTTCACGATTGATACCAATTCTGTTATGTTAAGTTTGGATTTGCTTCAGGATGCCGATAGCTAGCAGACGATGTCTGTTTACCCGAACTTCCAGTTTAGCACGTGCTAATCGTCACGAGGCTATCTCCCCCTAGGGGTTGACAGGCTGATCTTTCCCGGCTAAAGTGAGAGACAAGGCTGTGAATGGTGGGAGAAAGAGAAATATCTACCCTCGGAGGAGCTAACTGACGTCTAACCCTCGGTAAAGCATCGGGCGTCTGCCTTTTACACTACTGTTCAAATCCATACAAATGTACATGTATTAGACACGTTCCGTCAAAGTAATACTTTAACGTGACATGTAACACATGGCCGATCACCTCATTAAATGTCTCACTCATGCGTAAGGTGCGCTTTCGACTGCACATACAGATAGTAAAGTATATTTTAGCGGCACCGTATTGGCGATAGTGATATTTAGATTAAGATATGACAGAATTTAACGAAAACCAAAACCATGGCCAGAATTGTAACGTTATTTTGAAACATTTAGGTTGTTTGAAGACGGTGTCCTATGAGAAAGGAGCAGACCTAGGTAGTATTGTACAGCGCCATTTTACTGGAATCATACCATGGTAATTTCCATGAGTCAAAATTTCGCGATTGTCCTTTAAAACGGTCGAATCGTATTTCAACCAATCATAATTTCGTAATATGGATATAAACTTGATATCTTATACAGGCGTGTCTCATTATTTCACGAATTAGATTTTTGCGATCACGTTAATGTATCGCGAAATAGCGAGAATATCCTCCCCGCGAAAATAATGTACGGTATTTTAACGACGCCGAAAAGAAACCATTACCCATAAGCTCCATTGTCAAGCAGATGGCATCAATATTTATATATATTGTAAATATGCCTTCATTGTTTCACCTTATTAATATACCCTCACTATTTATATGTTTCAATTTCCTCGGAAGGTTTTGTGCAGTGTATAATCTAATTAAAATTCCTTTTGTCCTTTTATTTCTCTAGGTACACTACAATTGTAACGTACCTAAATGAGTGTGATTACAAGTTAGTTTTAAGTGGATTGGTGTGTTGTAGTAAAAGGAATAAACAGATGATAAATTTCCCTTCGGAATCCTACATGTACTCTAGTGCATATGCTGAATGTGTGTAAGGGTGTCTCTCGGGTCGGTAGCGATAGTGAACATTTTTATCGTTCTTTATTAAATGTATTTTATTTCATAATCTATTAAGGTGATTATTTGGAAATAAATTGTGTGATAGTTGGCGGCATGTATAACTGTATTAGAAAAGTAAAGAAAATGAATGAGAGTATCAGCTACACAAGCTTCTATATCATGATTCTGGGATCTTATTTTTTTGCTCTAGTTTTGATATAACAGCTAACCGGCGTTTTTTAAAAATTATTGATGATAACTTTTTTTTCCGTTTCTTCTTTCTTTTTTTGTTTTTGTTTTTGTTTTGTTTTTTTTTTTTTTGTAGGGTTGTTGGAGATTTTTATATTTTTGGCGCCTTTAAGTATAATCATTTTTGTGACTTTTCCATTGTCTGCTGGTGAAACCATGATGCGTTGGAGCACAACTGGCCAAGTGTTTAATAAAGCGTAGCCGAATCGTCCCTAGTACATTGTTGTAATATTGATTTTTTTCGATATTCTGTTTAAAATCTCATCGCACTATTTTTCAACCTTAACGCATAATATATCAGAGTAAAACCGAAAACGTTGATCGATTCCTTACTATCTACAACGTACATCATGACTTCACATTTGTCTAATAACGATGACTATGTAGTCATTGAAACGTCATATTCTAATCTTCTAAGGTTTGTGTTATACAAACTTTTATCCTAATATCATATATTGTTATACAGGTGATCCCTGTCAGAAGGCGTGGCATTGTGTGAGATATAATGAGCGAAGAAAATGTATTGATTATACAGAAACTCGTAGTTTGGACATCATTTACTCTGTCACGTGATTATTTGACTAGGGTGAATTATTCTGAATGACAATAGGGATTTTTTAAGATACGAGTATGTTTCGTTGAGATATATAATTTGGTTTCAGTAGAGATCATTATCGATCATGAGCTGATATCATAAGGATGTCTACCGGGTGGAAACTTACTGCCAAAAGGTTTATCAATTAATCAATCATCCGGACTTGTGAATCTAGTAGCTCTTTAAACAGTCAGTCGAATACCAAACGGAAATTACAATAAAAAAATCCGAAGTAACTAATTCGACATGACATGCGATGTTTTAAGTTTTTAATTAGATATATCATGCAAGCTCAGCCGTCGAGAATTTGACACATTTGTCACTTACTATGGTATCAAAAATTATTATCCAATAGCTATAACGCTGATTAAGATTGTGTGGTATCATTGGTAGGAGGTTAAGATTTCTGTGGTACCACGGATAGGAGATTACGATTATGTGGTATCACTGGTAGGAGGTTAAGATTGTGTGGTATCATTGGTAGGAGGTTAGGATTTCTGTGGTACCACGGATAGGAGATTACGATTGTGTGGTATCACTGGTAGGAGGCTAAGATTGTGTGGTATCATTGGTAGGAGGTTAAGATTTCTGTGGTACCACTGGTAGGAGGTTAAGATTGTGTGGTATCACTAGTAGGAGGTTAAGATTGTGTGGTATCACTAATAGGTGGTTAAGATTTCTGTGGTACAACTGGTAGGAGGTTAAGATTGTGTGATATCACTGGTAGGAGGTTAAGATTGTGTGGTATCATTGGTAGGAGGTTAAGATTTCTGTTGTATCACTGATAA